AGCGCCCTTGTAATTGAAAGATTGCTGGTTTGAATCCCCGACCAACAAGGTACCGCCCCCAAGCACTGCTCCCCGGGCGCTGAATTAGCGCCCCCGCTATGTCACGACGTCACATATGGGTTAAATACAGAGGACACATTTCGTTGTTGTGCACTGTGTGCTGTGGTGTGTCAACAATGATCACCTAATTCTTCTAATTCAATGCGAGCCCCTGTTTCATGCTACAGAAAGCAGCACCAGATGTCGCTGTTGAGCAATGCACGACATGATCAGTAATTCCAGTTTCACGATATCAAGGCTTTCAAGTCTCACGCATTAACCGTGAGATACACGCATTTAAATCGGTTCACGCGCTCACCCGCTGAGAAGTAATAATTAATAGACGATGCGGAAGCATAAGGAGTGGAGAGCACAAGTTCATAGCTGTCCCAAGTTATACAGAGCCAATGGCCACCTACAAGCCAATAAGAAAATAGCATTTGTTGTTTCCGGGTAAATTCCAAAATAAGTTACATGCGATTCCGCTGCAAGCGCGTTAATACATGGATGCATGCACACGCACGAAGTGCAGAAAAGGTGGAAGAGCAAGATCCCGTGACTGCGGTAGGCAGGGCTCTCGAGTATCAGGCACTGACCGTGAGACATATGCATTTCAACCAGCTCACCTGTTACACCTTGTATATCTCACAGTGAGAAATAAGAGATAAGGTGTCGCATTACACAGAATTAATGGACGATGCCCAAGCGTATTTTCCACCAAGTTCATAGCTGCCCCCGAGCTATACAGAATTAATAGACACCAACCAATCAGAAAATAGCATTTGCTGCCTTTGAGTAAATTCCAAAATAAGTTACATGTAATCCCTATGCATGCACGTTATTAGCAACCAATCAGAAAATAGCATTTGTTTCCCCGTAAATTCCAAACTAAATTACAAGCACATTATTACATGGATGTGCAAATGAGGTGGAACTGGAAGGGCAAGATCCGAGATAGGCAAATCGCTGCAGCCAGAAGCCGAATGTCGAGAGGGAGGGGCAATGTGGGAGGAGTTTATAATAGGGGGCCTGTTATCTGATACCCTAACCCAGGGGTCTCAAACTCCAGTCCTGGAGGGCCGGAGTCCTACACAGTTTTTGGTTCACCCTCATTTAACACACCTGGTTTAACTCCTTTGTGAATTACCACACAGCTCTTGAGCTGAATCATTTGTGGTGGAACAGGAAAAGAACTAAGCTACACAGGGCTTTTTCCCCCCAGGACTGGAGTTTGAGACCCCTGCCCTAACCCTTGTTATAAACCCCTCCTACCCTTTGTGATAAACCCCTCCTACTTGACATTGCCCCTCCTACTTGACACCCAAATTGCGAATAATTGTATGAAAATTTTACATCACGATTATCGTGATGTAAAATTTTCATGCAATTTTTCGTACAAAAACGTTGTGCAAGCGCAGACATATGAAGTACAGGTCAGTATGGATAGGGTTGTGACAGACACCCCAACAAAGCCACACCCACCCATATCATGTCAAATGGATGGTGCGCTGCTGACCTCAGCTCAGGACGTTGTGGGTAGGTGGAAGGAATACTTCGAAGACCTCCTCAATCCCACCCACACACCTTCCAATGAGGAAGCAGAGTCTGGGGACTTGGGGGTGGACTCACCTATCTCTGGGGCAGAAGTTGCTGAGGTGGTTAAAAAGCTCCTCGGTGGCTGGGCCCCAGGGGTGGATGAGATCCGCCTGGAGTTCCTCGAGGCTCTGGAGGTTGCGGGGCTGTCCTGGTTGACACGCATCTGCGGCATCGCATGGACATCGGGGGTGGTGCCTCTGGATTGGCAGACCAGGGTGGTGGTCCCCATCTTCAAGAAGGGGGACCGGAGGGTGTGTTCCAACTATTGGGGGATCACACTCCTCAGCCTCCCTGGTAAGGTCTGTTCGGGGGTCCTGGAGAGGAGGGTCCGCCGGATCACCTATGGTCACGAGCTGTGGGTAGTGACCGAAAG